CATTTTTAGCAATGGACATTTTTTGTATTTTATAATTTCAATCGTTTCTACAATTTTGGGAATCCGATGTTTGGTTGTTTTGTGAATACAATGTGGAAAACCCTATCTGTATGTAAATTTGGAAACTGCAATAAAAAACTAAATGCAAAAAAGAAAAAGAAAAGAAAGACACAATAGTGCGTTTTGTGGGACGTAGCACAGTGCTCATTCAGTAAAGGCACAGCTAAACAGATGTGTTTTCAGTCTCGATTTCAATGTGCCTAATGTTGGAGCACATCTGATCATGTATGGAAGCTGATTCCAGCAGTAGGGGGTGCTGGTAGTAGCCGAAGGCTGATTCACCCTGCTTTGACTGAATTTTGGAATTTCTAGTTTATAAGAACCTAAAGATCTGAGTGATCTGTTAGGTTTGTATTCAGTGAGCATATCTGTAATTTATTGAGGTCCTAGGCCATTTAGTGATTTATAGACAAGTAATAATACTTTAAACTCTATTCTGAATGTAACTGGGAGCCAGTGTAGAGACCTGAGGAAAGGTGTGATGGGCTCTGATTTGCTGGTTCTGGTCAGAATCCTGGCAGCAGTGTTCTGGATGAGCTGTAACTGTCTGACTGTCTTTTTGGGAAGGCCAGTGAGGAGTCCATTACAGTAATCCACTCTGCTGCTCATAAAAGCATGAACAAGTGTCTCTAAGTCTTCACTGGAGACAAAGCATCAGATTCTTGCAATGTTTTTGAAATGATAGTATGCTGATTTAGTTACGGCTTTGACATGACTACTGAAACACATATCTGACTCCAGAATCACACCAAGATTCATTTTAAGTTGCTAGTGTGTTGTACAGTAAGTGATTAGTGTGATTCTAGTGATTTTTAGTTTGTTGCTAGGGTGTTATAAGCAATTGTTAATGTGTTGCTGTTGGGTGTTCTGGGGTGAGTGCTATGTGTGTTGCTAGGGTGTTAGTATATTGCTTAGGCGTTTTTGAGTGGTTAATGCTTTGCTGGGTGTCACGGTGGTGCAGTTGGTAGCACGATCGCCTCACAGCAAGAAGGTCACTGGTTTGAAGCTGGGCTAGGTCAGTTGGCCTTTCTGTGTGAAGTTTGCATATTCGCCCTGTGTTGGTGTGGGATATCTGGGTTCTCGGGTTTCATCCACAGTCCAAACACATGCGCTGTAGGTGAATTGGGTAAGCTAATTTGTCCGTAGCGTTTGAGTGTGTATGGATGTTTCCCAGTGATGGGTTGCAGCTGGAAGGGCATCCGCTGCATAAAACATATGCTAGATAAGTTGGCGATTCATTCCGCTGTGGCGACCCCAGATTGACAAAGAGACTAAGCTGAAAGGAAAATGAATGAATTAGGGTTGTGCCGATAGACGATGCCGTTGTTCATCGCCGATGGCCAACAAACTTCACGATGCTGAGCCGGCATCGTGATCCATCGCCCATTTATATTGATATTCATTCATTCATTTTCTTGTCGGCTTAGTCTCTTTATTAATCCGGGGTCGCCACAGCGGAATGAACTGCCAACTTATCCAGCAAGTTTTTATGCAGCGGATGCCCTTCCAGCCGCAACCCATGTCTGGGAAACATCCACATTCACATTCACACACACACACTCATACACTACGGACAATTTAGCCAACCCAATTCACCTGTACCGCAAGTCTTTGCACTGTGGGGGAAACCGGAGCACCCGGAGGAAACCCACGCGAAGGCAGGGAGAACATGCAAACTCCACACAGAAACGCCAACTGAGCTGAGGCTTGAACGGTCTTTTCATGAGCTGTTAAATGTTACATATAGCTGCCGCTTGCACGGCTGACAGCATTCATAGATTCAGTGGCAAACGCTGTTACTTCCAAACCCCGTCTCACAGACTTTACAGTGAATGGCTTTAGTCATTTTCATAGCGGACTTGCAGCCACTGGAAGTTTTTTATCCACTCTTGGAAAAGTGTAAATGGTGGATTAACATTCAGCACATGATCACTAATAAGATGTGCCGTTATTAGGAACTGTAGGTAAATCTGTCAGTGTTATTTTCATTCTCTCATCTTCAGCGCTTCACATTTTCACGGTTGTAGCTCAGTCCTCTGAATGCAGAAGGCATTGACTGAGTGACTGACAGCTGATAAAAACCAATCATTCAAGTTCTAGAGCAGTGGGCCAATAAGAAGAGCACAAAGGCGGGGCAAGCATTGCAGCCTGTTTTACTTCAGCAAGTTCACATAACAACTGTTTATCCGTTCCTGAGCGCTGCGTTTGGCGTTTTTAGGTGCAAAGATGCATTCTGCATAAATGTCTCCTAAATCCGCGCACGCGGTGAGGATTTTGCAGTGAAAACAAGGAAATGTATGCAACACAGTGAACTCCAACCGAATCTCGTCTCCTCCACCAGCTGTGGGAAAAGCCATTATAACAACACTGATCACTGCCTATTCATGCTAGAGTCCCACGGAAAAAAAGTGCTTGACAGGTGGTCATTTGTTTGTAACTTTATTTATTTATGGTTTGGTTATGGGTAAAGCAAAGACCATGTGGTTCAGATAGTGAAAACGGTAGGCTACAATTAATTAATTTGTTATGAATTAATTGATATATAACAACCACCCCCACCCTCCGCCTATGACGATGACGGCATCGTCCATCGCAATGTTTCACAATAGACATCGTACTATGCCAAATTGGTCAACATCGCCCAACCCTAGAATGATTGAATGCTTTGCTAATGTGCTGTAAGTGATTGTCAGTGCAGTGCTAGCAGTTGTCAATGTGTTACTAGGGTGTTGTGATGGGTCTGCAAATCGCCTACTACTCCAGTAGGTAGTACATTTGAATTTGAATTTACTACACGACCATAAGAAAAGTACGTCCTATAGTATGAATGCGAGTAGTATTCACATCTGCATTTATGACCTACCTGCTTCAGTCGTGTCGCTTCACTCCTATTGATAAATCATCTCACCTGGCATTATGGGATAGCAAGGTGTCCACTGGATTTGCACTTCAGAATCTCACTGTAAGTAGTAGGTCATATAGGTACTTCTCACATACTGTGTCAAATACTATGAATTCGGACGTACTACTCTGCTCACATACTGTTTTTCACATAGTGTATACTAAGGAAGTATGCAATTGCAGACACAGGCATGGTTTTGTTTTTGGGTGTTATTAGCGGTGGTTAATGCTTTGCTAAGCTGCTATAAAAACAGCAAGTTGTTTATCGCAGAGTTGTCAGTGCATTGCTAGGGTGTTCTAAGTGGTTAAACTGTGTTGCAGGGGTGTTGCTTTAAGATCTTATCGTACAGTAAATACATGCAGCAGCGATACTGTTATTCTACACATTTTGTAGCTGTAAATGTTTTATGTATAACTACTTTTGTCATGAAGTCTTAAACTGATAACAATGTATTCTAAAAAGTTTTAATATCAATGATTTTTTGAGATTTTGTAGGTTTTTGTAGTGTTTGTTTTTGTACTTTTAAATTTAGTCATTTAGCAAATGCTTTTATCCAGAGCGACTTTCAAATGAGGACAAGAAGCAAAACATTAGTTTTTTTTTTTTTTTTTTTTTTTTTTTTAGTGGTAGAACCAGAGAGGCAATTGCAAATTAGGAAGTGAAGTATAGACTAAATAGTTGAGTTTTTAGTCGTTTCTTGAAGACAGTGAGTGACCGTTCTGATGCAGTTAGGGAGTTCATTCCACCAACTGGGCAAATTGAACGCGAGAGTTCGGGAAAGTGATTTCTTCCCTCTTTGGGATGGCGACGTTCATTCACAGAATGCAAGTTTCTGGAGGGCACATAGATCTGCAGAAGTGAGAGCAGATAAGAAGGAGCTTTGTAAGCAAACATCAGAGCTTTGAATTTAATGCGAGCAGCAACTGGCAGCCAGTGCAAACGGATGAGCAGCGGAGTGACATGTGCTCTTTTAGGTTCATTAAAGACCACTCGTGCTGCTGCGTTCTGAAGCAGCTGAAGAGGTTTGATAGAGTTAGCTGGAAGCCCGGCTAGTAGAGAATTGCAATAGTCCAGTCTGGAGAGAACAAGAGCTTGAACAAGGAGTTGAGCTGCATGTTCAGATAGGAAGGGTCGGACCTTTCTGATGTTATAGAGTGTGAATCTGCACGATCGAGCAGTTCTAGAAATGTTGTCAGAGAAGTTTAGTTGGTCAGCAATCGTTACTCCAAGGCTTTTCAGCTTTTTGGATGCAGTAATGGTTGCCCCATCCATCTGGAATGAAAAGTTGTGATGTAGAGTCGGGTTGACAGAAACTTCAAGCATTTCTGTTTTCGTGAGGTTCAGCTGAAGATGATGATCTTTCATCCAGTGTGAAATGTCTGACAGACAGGCTGAGATGCGAGCCAGAACCGAGGGATCATCAATGTGAAAAGAGAGGTATAGCTGGGTATCGTCAGCATAGCAGTGGTAGGAGAAGATGGAGAAGAGAAGTGGCCCAAGAACAGAGCCCTGTGGTACCCCAGTGTTTAGATGCTGTAGGTTGGACACCTCTCCCCTCCAAGACACCCTGAATGACCTGTTTTTGTGTTACTACTTGTTTCATGATGTCTTTTATTGTTGTTTTTTGTGAAGTTTAATATTAAACTAATTTTGAGAGGAGCATGTGCTCATTATTGACCCAGGTGGCCTACATCAAAGTATCCCAAATCACTACAGTTGAAGTCAGAATTATTAACCCCCCATTGAAATATTTTATCTTTTTAAAATATTTCCTAAATGATGTTTAACAGAGCATGGAAATTTTTACAGTATTTCTGATAATATTTTTTCTTCTAGAGAAAGTCTTATTTGTTTTATTTCGGCTAGAATAGAAGCAGTTTTTATTTTTTAAACACCATTTTAAGGACAAAATTATTAGCCCCTTTTCGCTATTTTATTTTTGATATAATAACTGATAATAAATACTGATGTGGTTTTATGTTGATTGTAAACCTAAATGCGTCACTAATTATTGTTCTGTCTTTCTTTTCTTCTGTAGTCTGTGTAAGACTAAGGTGGTCGCTGATTAACATCATGACTCACTGGCATGACATCGACACTGCTTGCTGACACGGTGCAGCAAAGGATGCTGGGAAACACCAAGCGTTTTTTTGGCAGCACCGAGGACAAAGAGGGCGAGGATGAGGAGGAAGAGGAGGAGCGATTGAAGAGAGCAAAACAAAATGGGATGATTGAAATGGGAGAAAAGGAGCACCAGAACCGTGCCGGACGCAAGGTGGATGGATCCAAACCGGCGGCCGTCGTGATTGGCTGGCAGAGAGGAGAGAGACAGCCGAGAGCTGTAAACTCCGCCCAAAGAGGAATCCCCCATTTGCCCAGTCAGCCGACTCTTTATCATCAGACCACCAATCAGCCGCAGTATCACCCGGTGTTGACCAATCAGCAGGTCCGACGGCGTCTCATGGAGCGCAGCATGACCACAGTCACACCTGTAGAAGACTCACACCTGGCAGTCATCGTGTTCCGCATCGGCATACCAGACATCAAACAAACGGTCTGTGCATTTCTGATGCTTTTTAAATATGTTAATAGTGAATATTTTTGTATATTTTAGCTAAATTACATACCATTTTAATAATAATAAAATAATAATAATAATAATAATCAAAAATACCAAGTTGCATTTATTTGATGCATTTGTGGTGGAGTTTATTCAAGCCTTTCTGAAATGGTGAGTCTCACACAAATGCTGTTTGCAGTGCACACATATGCGCGTTTGCTGACACCATGTGGCCGTAGTGAATATAGTGGTTAAGAGTTACACAGCGATTTTACTGTGTTTATTACAAACATGCTGCTTTTTAAAACTTTTTAAATGTATAAAACTCACATAGCGTTGGAACAAATATTTTAATCCCAGTTTATTTGCCTATATATATATATCGTGGAATGTGGTTACATGTTATTACAGAAATCAATCAATTCAGTAGGCGGGGAAAACCGCACTCCTACAGTAGATGAGTGTTCAATGTGACCATCACCGCCGGGGCTTATACCGCCACTGTTTTAAATTGCTGCCGCTCTGTTTTTAGTGTATGAAAGTAGTTTGTGAATGAGCCGCCAGGGGGCACAAAGGGACGAACGGACAGAAATAGCCCATACAGCAGCTTTAAATATGCTACTGTGCTTGTAAATGAGATTAAACAATAAGTCAAAGCATTATAATTCCTTCATTAATCATTTAAAATTTGTTAACACGCTTTATTATTATTGTAAACTTGTTAAGTGCAAAGAGGATTCGTTTTTGGAAAATAGAATTGTCGCCGCAGTATGAATGGCGGCAAAAGGAACACATTGAAGTAGTGACATCTGTACATCACGTCGCGCTACGCCTCAACCACTAGCATTTGAGTCCTATTTTAACGTCAGGAAATAAAAAAAAAGAGACTTGTTGGGTTTCCATCACTTCAGTATGACTGTGGACACACTATACCTACACACAGTTCTGAATAAACAGCTTACACAAATTAATTTTCATCATAGGCGCCCTTTAAGAAATATTTCTGTTTCCTTTGCTGAATTAGGCTCTGATGTTCATGTGTCAGTCATAAACACACACACTATATAAGTTTCTATATAACAGTAATTGTTCTTAATGAGCTTCTGAAAGCTTCAAAGAAACACACACACACACACACACACACACACACACACACACACACACACACACACACACACACACACACACACACACACACACACACACACACACAGTTTAATATACTCTACATCTATAGTGTCTCCCAAGGTTATTGTGGGAGGGATTGAGACATTAGGAGGAAATTAAAAAAATAAGTTAATTCAGGGGGAGAAAAGGGGGAACGTGGGAATCCTTAATGAGGCAATACTTAGCGCGGTCTTATGTTAGTGTGTGTATGCAGCTGTTCAGAGTGAGTTTTAAATAAACACACAGCTCGAGTTTCCTCTTGTGATTTGTGTAGGAGCTCTGACCTGATTTAATGTCAAACTCACTCTCATCGAAACTCTTCTCAACTGCGGACTCAATTAGCAGCTCACTTTACCATGCTCAATCGCGGCACATTAACAATCCCCAGATAAAGCTGCAAGACTCTGATGCTGGATTTTAATATGCTGGATGCTTTATGATTTACTTTAGGGCAGTCGGCTCTGAAGCTTTTGAAAGAAACTCATTATGGTGAAATCCAAACAAACAAATCAGAAGTGTGTGTTGGGGATCATTGATATGCTGCTATAGTTTTTAATTTATCTTAAAGGGCCCCTATGGTGAAAAATCTACTTTTAAAGAGCCCATATTATACATGAAATAGGGTCATATCCTGGTTGTAAGGGTCTCCAACAACAGTCTAATATGCATGCAAGGTCAAAAAACACTTTCATGGTCTTATAATCTGCATTTATTTTTACCTAATTATCCCAGCGACTCCCGTATGAATCGTCCAGTGATTCATTTGTTCCCAAACCCCTCCTTAGCGCGAAGCTAATCTGCGCTGATTGGACCGATGACAGTCTGTCGCGATTGGTCGACTGCCTTCAGTCAGAGAGTGAAATGGCCAATAGCTAATCAGCAATTTAAAAAGTAATCACAGTTCATACACGCTCGATAGTGTAGGCGTGGATTTTAGCTGCCACACACACACAAAAACACACACACACACACCTCCGGGCGACAACGCTCCCGCTTCCGCCCGCACCCGCCAGGTTTTAGCCTGAGAACCCGCTCCGTTTTCTGCCCGCCGCGCCCGATCCCGCTAGAGCGGGGGAGAACACAACCAAAAATCACCCAGCTATACAGTCCAGACAGCCAAGATGTCTGTATAAACACACACAGCACCAAGCACACAAAGCTCGCTCTCGCTCGCTCTCTCTCTCTCTCATACGCGCGCGTGCGCACTAACACACACACACACACACAAGCACCAAGCAGACTCTCTCTTTCTCATTCGCATAGCAATATCCGTGATATTGCTAGACAGCCCGCTCCCGTCCCAAATTAAACCCGTTACCGACCGCTCCCGCGATTTATTCGGAAATTTATTCCCGCGCCGCAGAAATCTGGCGCGGGGACAGCCGCGGGAATGCAGAACTCTACCACGGAGCTCCATAAACAAAGCAGCACGCGTCGCGTTTTTAACGTGACTTTGCACGCGATAAGAGAATATAGCCAGTTAACCTGATACAGTACACGCGGTTACAAGTAACAAATCACAGCTAAATACATTTGCAAGCTAGAGTCAACGAGGCAACAACTTTAACCGCACGTACTTACACTTGAGAAAGGTAGGAAGAAACCCATCCTGACATGTCCATCATTAAGTTACTCTTTACTGATCCTTCCTTTAACAAACTCAGATGAAGTATTCTTTGTAGCATGTAGCTTCCAGAAGTTTCCAGTAGTTTCCAACTGCTTGGTTATAATGCTGATGTTTCATCTTTGGGTAGAGACTTGATATAATATCCATCTGCAGTGTGACTTCAATCGACCGGCATGTTTGTGTGCGTGTGTTTGTGGGTGTGGGTGTGTGTGTGTGTGTCTGGGTTTCTGCGTCAGAGGGCGGGGCCTCAGGTTTGAAATCTCCCGGGTTTGCGCGTGCACGTGAATAACTTGGTTTCGTTCGTACGTCATGGCGAAACACCTAATGACTCGGTATCAAGGTGACTCGTTTGAAGCACTATGAGTCGACTCTTTTATAGATGAATCAACCGTTTTAAACATTGTACACTAACAGATTTAAGCCTTAGCTGGATACTTCACTTCACTTAGAGCTGTGTTACACACTACATGGAGGGGAATTTTCAAAAACCCATAATATGGGCTCTTTAAAGCTGTTTGGACAGACATGTGTGTAAGTATAGTGTATAGACTGTCATATAGGGCTGATATAAACACATACAGTGCTTTTTTTTTCAATTTAACAACACAAAAACGGACCAATTGGAGCGGATATCAGAGCGACCGCAACTTGATGTAGGAGTGTGGTCCCCCCGCCCACCAATATTGATTGACAGCCTCGCGTCACGTAATCCTCAGTTTGTCGTTTCACGTCCGCCATTTTCAGCGTGTCAAATCGATGTCACTAAAGGAACACACTTGCTCTATTTTTAGATGCCAGACTCATTGGGCTCAACACAAGAATCAATATTTTCCACATTATCGCTCTTATCGGAATTATTGGTTGTACATTTGGGTAGGTTTGCAAACATGTGTACTTTTCATTGCGTCTACCCTAAACTTCAGCTGTTTACATTTCTCACGTTCACAGAAGCTCTCTGTGATCCTAACTAGGTGCAGCTGGAAAAGTGCAAGTGCGTTGCCTCATGTGCACGTCTGTCCATTGGAAATAAAATAACAAACTTTTGCCAAGCTTTGCATGGCACGATGCTGACGCAGCGCCATGTATTTTGGAGTTCTGGGCGTGGGTTTTTGTCTGGGTGCGCATGGCGGCGCTTCAAGTCGGCGGTTGGGCGCCGCAGACAGGCGCTGACTTGGGGCGTCGTTGTGTGTGCCCTGATGGAAACCTATGTTTAGAGTTCTAAAATGCATGGCGCGACAATTCGGGACACTTCCTGCTTCTGCCGCGCCACAGAGAGTGTCTGGTGTGCCGTGTCGTGGCTTCAAGCGGCGCATCCGGAGCCTCAGTCAAAGTTACATTTTTTCTCAGTGGCTTTGGTGCATTTCTCACCACACTATTTACATTTGCACAACAGGTCATGCATTTCTCAAAACAATTAGTCATTTGTGCACATCCTAGTAGCAGTTTCTCATTCCTTCTAACAAATTGCAAATGCTTTTGGACATGCATCAATTGCTTTCATACAACTCTCTGCTATTTATAACATTATCACTTGCTTCTGTCATGTCAGTCAAAATGAACTAAACTTGTCAAAGCTGAATAGTCATTATATATGAACCTAATAGTCCTCATTTCATTACTTGAGTCATTACATACAAAAAAAGTTGAACTAGTTGTCAAAATCTGTTGAGCAAATTTTATAAAAAAAAAAAAAAAATTCTGAAAATGTCTTCTAAATTGAACAATTTGATGAATGATTTACTGACCTGTGTATGTTGTAGGTTCAGTTCCGATATGTCCTGCAATATTGTTTACAGTTGTGCCCAGCTTTACCCAAAGGAAGCTTATGCTTGTAGTAAATAAGGGTGAGTTTATTCTTCTGCACAATGCTGTGAATAAATTAGAATTGCAACAAGCATAAACAGTAAAAATGTGAAACATACATATTCAGTGTCTTGTACTCAGAAGCCTCACTAAATGCAGTGATGTCTCACTTTACTGTAGCTCTCAAATGGCTGTGCAAACAGTATATGGTGCTGTCTTGAGCAATTTCAGGACATTGGAAAAAAATGTACAGACTAAACTGCCATAATGAAAACATGACAAAGCCTTCTGACCATCTTGTTCATAAACAATGGTGTCAGGACTTTACATCTTGATGACACTGACACTTTCATTGACAGCAATACTTGCTTTTGAGGAATGAGCTCTCCATTTTGAGTGAGTGACACACTTTTGCAGGTTATTAGCAAGGCTTTGCAGTTTGTACTAATTGTTTTGAGGACTGCATTAGCTGTTGTGAAAATGTAAATAGTGTTGTGAGAAATGCACCAAAGCCATAGAGCAAATGGTAATACAAAAGCTATTTACAGAAGTAACCTGTCCATTACATAAAACCTGCTGAAACTGTGGTAAAGAACATGCAAACTCTACACAGAAATGCCAACTGCGTCGAGGCTCGAACCAGCAACCCAGCAACCATCTTTCTGTGAGGCGACAGCACTACCTACTGCGCCACTACGTCGCTATAAATGTGTTTGTCCACCTTTTAAATGAATTCCTAAATTTGATTATTATTTTAGCTAATTATTATTTTCTTTTAGTTCGTTTTTCTGTTGTTTCATTTAGTTTTTAAAAAGTTGTGGTAACTATTAACCTTCACTTTTCTGAATCTGATTGTAATGTGCACCTTTTGTAAAGCTGCTTTAAAGTAATGATTATTGTGAAAAGCACTATACAAATACACTTAAACCTAATGAGTTTGAGTTATTACTTTATTAAGCATTTTGTTTTTCATTTCAGATAATAAAAACCAATATTTTTTTGGTTTTCTAAAATACTTTGCAGCAAACCCGATTTCCGTTTGCGGTATGACTCAAAAACGAAGGTCTGTGGTGAGCGACAGATGCTGTCAATAAAGACCAAGTTGTTTTGAACTCTAAATCCAGTTCAATCTGTTGTTCTTCCTCTCTTCTATCCTCTCTCCCCGTCTGCAGAAGTGTTTGCGGTTTGATCCCGACTCAAGCGTTTGGAGTGCGAAGCAGCAGATTATTTGTTCTCTCAGTGAGTCGTTGTGGGACGTTTACAATTACGGCCTCTTCCAGCCAGCTGGAGACGGACGAGA